GGCACTGCCGACTTCTACATTGACTCTTTGCACAGTGACATCCCCTGAACCTATTTTTGCAGCTCTTCGAACAGCTGAAAATGAAAAAGTTAATTGGTCATCACTGGTTCTGTGCATTTCATTCAGTTGACTGCTTTAAGGATAAGTCCGACATACCCACAGTATTTTTCACAGCAGGTTCCATTACTCATACAAGGACATTCCTTTCCGCACATAGACTGGCATCCACATGGCGTATATAGTTTACGTGAATCGTTTTTGCCATCAGCAATTCTTTTCCACATTGTTGGGTGCCCAGCAGACTTCCAAGAATACTTAAGCCTCCGTGCTTTGCCCCTTCTACGAAGTAACCGTGGCTTTGACGACATCTCTTGTTCCTAGCATGAGTACAATAAAGGTAACCTTTTTTAATCAGAGAGAGAGAGAGAGAGAGAGAGAGAGAGAGAGGTAGGAAAAGAAATAGGAGGATAAGTCTATGATGCTTACTGTCTGATCCATATCAGATTTCACATTGTCTTCCATAAATGAAGATGGTCCAACCACAGATCTATTAGGCATTGAAGCTCCAGAATTATGCATGTAACTAGACACCTCCATGCAAGTCCTCAAGCCAGAGAGTAAGTTCCTCGCTATGAGGCAACTGCAGAACACAAATTACCAATTAAGTACAAACATACGGAATGGTGTAATGAATATCCGTACAAGGCATTTTGAATTCAAAAATGGCTACCTGTTTCTCCCAAATATCTGCAGTCCCTTCATGTATAAATCTTTCTCCACTGGTTTCCACTCAGAGTTGCTATAGATCCCCTCAACTTGTTCACATGTAGACTTGGATGTTTGCCTCAGTTCAGGCACTTCAGTAACATCTCGTGGCTCATCTCTGGAAATGTGAACCTGAACCGGGATAGGTTCACTAGTAGCAGTTACCAAATCCAAAGCATCTAATCTCTTTTGTTTCTTAGAAGAACCCTGGAAAGCATCAGGTACTATAGTTAGGTCATTTGCCACTTTATCTGTATGCTTCACGACCTTGCGCTTCCCTGTGTTTTCATTGTGCATCTTCAGGATATGAGAACTATGAATGGCTTCTGAAGTTGCAGGCACAGCTTCATCAGGAATACTTCTTTCATTGTGTAAGAGGCCGGTACCACCATGAGAACTTGGTCGCTCGGCATTAATGGATGATCCTGGAGCACTTTCTCTCTCTGATGTTACTATACTCAACTGCAAGAAGAACCCGGAAGTCATATTCAAAATCCCATGACCAGTGGCAAAAGCCAAAGAAAATATGGAGTGTGTAAATCATAATTGTCATGATAAATGTGCCTTATAGTTCATCAGGTGAAAAGAAAAAAGAAATGTTTAGCAAGGCTCAGATTAGACCAAAAGAATAAAAATGTACGTGTAGTCAGCCCCAAACTACTGAGATTCGGGCATTTAACTAATTCACCAGCAAATAATTAGAGGGTGAAAGAGTTTAACTTGTACAAGTTCATGATATGAAAACCTATCAGATTAACAGTGTCCTACTACTGAATTCAAGGAGAACGAAAGAAACTAATTCAACTAAACAGACCTCAAGTAGTAACAGAACCTAATAAAGAAAGGAAATTCCATACCCTGAGGTAACATTGATCACTGCATGGCTCTCGGTTCTCGTCATGACCGGACCAATGTGATTTTTCACTCTGAAAAGAAAGAATACCACAATAGACATAAAAATTTATGGAATTCAAACAAGCTGGCACATATAAGCAACACTGCTGCTTACAGGATAGATTAAAGGTTGAGAACATCCATGCAAACGACAATCAAATACCTGTTGGATAGAATCAGTTGAGAGTTATCAGAAGAAGAAAAAACCAGTATTTTCATTTAACAATTCAAGTAAGATGACACCCGCATACCAAGCAACGGCGACAGAAAAGGTTATCAAAAGAATCTAAGGCAGCAGTTAAGACTCTTATCAAGAGAAATGCACCCTTCATGTTCGCACTTCTCGGGGTTCCTTTCCTTGATTGTGTTATAACGGGCCTGCAAGTTACAATTCCACAAAATTTAGGCATCAAAATCCTCCCAAAAAACAATTGTGAACATATGTTAATGCAAGCTACCAGGATATCCGAAATGGGAACTCCAATAAACTCCTTCACAAGTTCCACTACTTCCTCGCCTAGGCCATGCTCCTGAAAGGCCATCCTACGAAATTCAACACAAAAAATTAAAAACCTTCATTTATTCCTACAACAAAATTTGGAATACACAAGTTCATAAGCAGCCATAGTCAATGTGATTCTCTAAAAATCTAACATCTCATATGAACTTACAACAGAATTCGATCTTCGCCCGCAGAAAATTCATGTTTTACTTCTTCGGGTTCTTCTGCCTCATCGTCAGTGCCACTGTAGACAAGAGCTTCACTGCCATCTTCATCGTAATAAATGCGCCTCCTCCCAACTACTGATTGGTCTTCAGCCATTCTTTGATTTCTGTGCTGTGAAAGACAAATTTGAGATAGGAGAAACACAACGGCAACAATTTTCACATTAAAAACATAAGAAGGCAGGGACAAAACATATATAGAAATCCGTGATTTGCATTATCTCACAAGTCTAAATTTGCAAACCCAAAAACAAATAAAACATTTAAACCAACATGTAATCGAACCTGTCCAAGAATATCCAAGTTGTATAAGGCGGTATCTTGTCAGCAAGTGGAAGCTTGGTACTTGATGAGAATAACACCTCTTGATTCTCAATCCAGTCTTTCTCACCACATCCCCGCACAAATCCACTGATTCTGCAGAGAGGCTGTTCAATTCTTGAAGAAAACAATTTAAAGCTCCTATTCCGCTCTGATGACAAAGCATTCAAATTCGCTCTTGCTGTCTCAGATATAATTTTCGAAACATAACCTTCTACCTTCTCCCTGTTCTTCTCAACCTTTTCCTGAATGTATAACAAAATAACAAATGTATGCCAAAATTTACTTTTACTGAAAGTGAAATCATTACAGTTTTACGTTTCCTGATAATCTAGTAAACAGCTTCTATGGGAATTCGGATTCTGCTTCTCCTCAATTCCAATTCCGCCTAAACTCAATTCTAACAATCCCGACTATGGATTAGTAAACAAGCCATTGGAAAGTATGCCAAAAAACTTACTTTTACTGAAATCACTCTCTCTGCTTGAATTTGCAACTTGAGCTGGTGCATCTTCTGCTCCAAGCTTCCAACGCCATCGCTCGGCCCTTCTACATGGAATTTCTGCCCATATAAATCACAGAGCAGACTCGATTTCGTGAATTCAACATCAAACATAACCAGATTTTACTTTCTGTTTGGCTGCAGAGAAAATGTGCAACTACTGCTGCAAGCTACGACTTCTAACTACACAAAATTCTGAAATTTCATTTCATTGATATCAAAACTACAATTTGGAAAGTGGAAAACAAATTCTCATCATGTTTGATCATAACAATTCTAATTCAGCAATTCTGATAATAATTTAAAAAAAAAAAAAAAAAAAAAAAAGGATCGAAATTTTGTTTTTAACAGAAAAGAAAATGAAAAAAAGAAAGCAGGAACCAAAATCGCTTGAAGAAACAGGGAATTCGGGGATCGACGAGAAGAGAGAGAGAAAGAGTTTAGAGAGAGACTGACTGTGAGTTTATTTGCAGAGTCGGAAGCTTTGGAGAGCATCGTCCCTGTTCTGCTCATCTCCCTGGGTGCCTGTGCGACTCAACAAAGAAATGACTGAGAAAATGAAAGTAATAAACCATTTTGTGCCTGACACGTGTAAGGATTGCTGATGTCGCCTACATGAGTGACTGGCCTACGTGTCCAAAAGATGACGTGGCCTACATGCTGGAGGGGCGATTATTGTATGCGTTCGATACATATAACTTCCGTCTCAAGTGCATAACATACGACACAAAAGAAATGTTAGTATACGCATCGAAGGATGGATGATATGTTTAGGTGTTGAAAGAGAAATTACTATATGCGCCAATTTTACTATATTTCTTTTCTTATTTTAGGTTTTTTTTTTAAACGATAAGATAATCTACATTAAATTCATCTAAACTACGGAGAGAGATATTTTTTTCCCTAATTAGAATTATGTTTAAAACTCACATCATTTCTAAATTTAGACTATTTCAAGACTTAATGATGTGAAAGTTTGGGTGCATTCACAAGTTTATTTTTCTTTTTAAATATAGAAAATTTGGAGTGTCAAATGAAAATTTTGAATTGTCAATAACAATTTTTGTTCAAAATTGATTGAGCATGGTGTTTATTTTTTCCATGTTAATATTTCTTTTTTGACAAACGATAACGATAGTGGGTCAAAATTTTAAAATATTAGAGAGACAGGAATCTATGAGGATCGAACCCTCATCAAAGTACATAAACATTATTATTTTCTGCCGATGCGGTAAATCACCATTTGCTTCATGTTGATATTGTATGCATAGATTTGGTACCCCGTAATGTTAGGGGATTAGTGACTAGGCCTACATACATGGGCTGTATCCTCTTCTTTTATTGGTCGGAATTAGGGTTCTCTGCCCAATTACGAATATGCAACACCCTTACCTTTCTAAAATTGGATAAATTCAATCACTAAAGAGAATTTCAAAACTAAGAAAACTTGATGTTTATATTTGCTATGTTTGTCATTGTGCTATGTTAGAGCGGTGTGTTCTTTTCATTGTAACCAATTTTTGGATTCCTTTCTTATAATTACGGTTAAAATAGAATATTGTTTGAATAAAACAACGTTTTGAATAGCAAATACGACATTAATACAATGATCATACATTACATTATTTTCAACTCTAAAAAATATCTCTTTCTCCACTCTGTCTCACATACAGAGAGCAAGTTTGATATTTCTACACTACGAGGATACCTCTCATAGGGAGTGAGACTAAATATAGGGAGAGTTCTACATTTTTGTAAAATTTTTGTACAAATAACATGATTTGTATTGATCCTATCCAAGTTTTTCTCCTCAGCGGAACTTCCAAGTAGAAAGGGAATGAATTGGAGTTCCCTTCCACCCAACAATAAGACATTTCCCATTCCTATGAAGCGTGCAAGAAGGGGATCCAAACTTTTTAGCCACCAAACTAGCTTGGTTCAGAGATGCCTTACTAAAGTTGATTTCCACCATTCTAAACCTTGCAAAGAAGGCCCTCCACACCTCCATCTTCACGTTTCTCGTAACCCTTTCGCTCCCCTCCGCCGCCACAATGTTTCGTATTCCCTCATGTAACAACCTCTCCATCAGCACTCTGGACTCCTCGTGCTTCATGCAAGCCTCAAGGCAGTCGAAAAATGCGCTGTAATAAAACAGTGCATCGATGAATCGGTTCACGAATGATGGCGAATTATGGTTTGCCTCCACCTCATTCACAACCATTACGCAAGGGCTGAGATTTCTCATCACCCTCATCAGATTTTCCAAGCAACTTGGCCTCAAAATCAGTGTCCTCAGTATTAGAGGAGCGTATACCACCACAGCTTCGTCATCTTCAACATCAAACAATTGCTTCTTGACATCTTCCATGTCTGTCACAATCACTGCCTTGAATTGAAAGGGTACGTTCAAGGCCTTTGCAACGCTTGCCAGCCTCCTTCCTGTCTCCTCGATCCTCTGCTTGCCTGTCACACCCACCGCGGTTATTGTAAGGAGCTCAATGGGGCACTCCTCGCGCTCTGCAAGCACTTCCATCAGCCCCTGTCCATTGCACTCCGCTTCTGATTTCTAGATCAATCAAATGAACCTTGCTCTCCAAGGCAACGTTTTCAAGTATTACTTGGATTGCTGCGAACTGCAATACTGGATGAAAAGGGATATCTTGGTGGCATGCAATAAATGTAAGGTTTGTGCTTAGTCCAAGACTATAACTAGATATCTCATTCCCCTTATACATGCTGTTCCCCGTTTCCTTTTCGATCCTCTCGCGAAGCGCCTCAGCGAAATAGAAAACAACCCTCTGGACAGGGTTGACTTTGAAGGAGGCAGCAAATTCGCAACGAAGAAGCAGGCGGTTTGCGCGCTCGAATTGTTGGTAGCCTACCTTCTCTGCTGCAGCTAAAAGGATGTGAGCAAGCTCCACGTCTTTCGTTTCTTCTTCGGATAGACCGGAAAGCGCGTAGCCAAAAGGGTGCAAGGGCATGAAAAAATCGTCATATCCTTGATTAGAGAATTGCACATACCTTGCTCCCGCAACCCTCATGATCTCCTCGGTTGACAATTTTTGTTGGATTGAATATGAGGAGGCTCCAGCTTCATTGCAACTGTTGCTAAATCTGTCTCGCTTCAGTTTCTTGAACGCGCTGCCGTAGTTGTTTAGGAGCTCCAACACAGCTAAGGAAGACTGATGGGGCATTTGCTTGTTGGTTTCCTCAATGTCTGATCCTCCGATTTGGCTGTACGTGAGCTGATTCGCCATGTCCTGAATCGGTTGCGTGGAATGGAAGGCAGAATCAAAGTTGAAGTTATCCAAATCAGAGTAGTTTGACTTGGATTGTTGGTGGCAACGTTGGTTTTGTTGTTGGTAGTGGCGGTGATCGTGATCTTTGGAAACATGATCTAGTTCTTTCTCGGACATGTTGTTGGATCGTTGAAGATCATATTCGGAACAAACTGTATCAAAAGTGAAATTATCCAACATTGAATAACTTGTCTTGGATTGTGGTTGATCTTTGGACAAATGAGAGAATTTTTCCATCTCTCCCAACCCTAATTCTTCCATCCCAAACAAATGTTCTGGCTTTCCCTTGAACACCACCACCTCCTGATCTTCCTTCTCATAATCTTCAAGCTGGCGAGTCAAACCACCACCGCCGCCGATGACTCCAAAATCAAAGGGAGTGAAGGAGAAGAATGCGTTCGCCATGTCGGATAATATATAAATGCACAAACAAATTCACCAAATATATTCTCAGAGTTCAATTGATCATCAAGTGAGACAATAGGATTATTCGGATTCGTATCGACAAATATATCTGTATCAATTTGTATGTTTGGTTGATAACAACGATCACAGGTATGAGTACTAAAGCAAATTATAAGGCGAGGAATGCAACCATGTAGTGACATAATTCCGATATTGTCAACAAAGCCAGCAGCCATGAAATGCCAAAAACTTGTCCAAATAAAAACCATGTAATCCCTCTATTGGAGCTAAAAATTAAACAAATGTCGCTGCCAATTACCATATTTTAATCAAATATTCTGCGCAAGCTTACGAGGTTGATTAACCGAAGGGATTAATTAAGGAAGAAGATGTGGACTCGCTTGGATAAGTATGGAGAGTTAAAGGACAAACTTAGAAACTTGAAAGTAAAAGGTTGGATAGGAAAGTACAAAACTTAGAGCAGTAACTTGTCCGTCTGTAACTCTGTCATTATCATATTACTGTCTGTAATTTTGTTAATAGGAGAAGATTACTACACACTTTGATCCTTTTTGATCCAGCATTTGCGGTGACAAAGAGGAATATGCCATGGATTTGGAAATTCAGAAGAAAACTTTAACTCTAATTAGGTCAATTAACCTTGCACATTAGCTATGATTGACTATGTTTACAGCACAAGATCAGTAAAACGTCAGAAAACACCTGCTGGCACAGTGAATACCCATTGCGTCTATCTCACTGCTCATGTGGTAACTCATGCGTGAGAAGTGAGATGAGAAATTTTATGTCATATAAGTTTAGAACGATACAATTTTCACTCTTTGGTTAATATTTTACAGTACTTCTTGCTCAAGTTCAGATATGTGAAATCAGAAGCACCACTTCACTTGAGCAAAGTTGTTCTCATATTCGCAACTTAATGCACCAATTTTTTGTTTTTACATTATAAAGAAACCAATACCGACTTACCAACAATGTTGATCTTCATGATCTAGATAATGTATAAATTCATATCTTGCCAAGAATAATACAATAATAATTATGATACAGTTGTACGTTGGCTTTAAAAATATATAGGCTACAAGTTCATTATAAAAAAAGTGTACGATTTTGGAACAGTTACCCAAAAATACAAAATGAAGTATTAAAGGAATAAGAGAATGAATTTCTAGCTCAGATGGTTCAGAATATTTACTCTTTCATCTTAGATTTTATGTTTGATAATCAATCAATCGGATGAGATTATGAGATTTAGACCTTGTTGTCTTGACGATCATGATCTTCTCCACAATTGTTACCTAAGTTGGCTTCTCTCCTACATAACAAAACCATGGAAAGCCACATAAGACCTTTTACCAACCTAACCATACCAATAGTCACAGTGAGGTAATACAGCGACCAACCAACAAAGTCAGCCACTCCTAAGCCCATTGCCAGCTCTCTTTTGGCTTTAGCCACAACAGCCAAAGACTCAACCTCATCCCTCAACCTCCACCACCACAAACAACCAAAGCTGGCAGCTATTGCCAACCTCTCAACCCACTTTTCCTCTCTAGCGCCACCGAAAACCGTGTCATCCACCACCGGCTTCACCACAACCCTACACCAATGAAGCATGGTCTCATGCAACCCTAGGAAAAATATTGCTCTGCTCAACAAACATATTTTCTCATCAACAACACCGCCGAAAGTAGCGCGCCCATCTACTACCTCCACGGCGACGATGCTACCTTCAATTCCCAAACCGACGCAGACTTGCATTGTACATAGGAAGATCCAAGCAGGGTATAAACGGGGATGGAAAATGGGACTCGGAAACTCAGTTATGATGGTGATTTTTCCTGTTATGCAGTGGATAAAGGCAGCCACGGTGACAACGGAAACAAGAAGATAGAGAAGAGAAGGGGTAGCGTAGAGGAAGAGATAGAAGATGCATGATGAATAGTAGTTGGAGGGCTCGGGAGGAGGAATGATGAGAGTGGGGAAGCTTAAGCTGAAGATATAGTTGGCGCAAGATAGCCTGGACAGGATGAGGAATGAGAGGGGAAGCAATAAACTGAGGAGGGTGAGTGTAAGAATATGGAAAGGTTGTTTTAGAAAGGTAGTCGAATTCGTCAAGAGCTTATTAGCGCTTTGTTCCCCATTGTACTGCCAATCCATTTTTTGTTGTATACCCTAAATTAAAGTGATTGATCGATATTTTTTCTTGTCTAGGAAATGAGGAACATAATGTGAGAGGCTTAAGGTTAAGCTATATACCTGATAAATTGATCACAATTATTAGTTGCCAACAAGAATAAATAGTGCTTGCCACGCCCAAGTATAGTTGACATGCATTTAGACATGGTCTTATACAAGCCCACTCCTCCTCATAATTGCTTGAATTTAATACACATATTGTGCTTTTTGATCAAATATAAGCGGTAGTCAACATCATCACCATATTGTTTATTCACAGCCGTTAAATTAATGAGTTTAAATTTTAAAATTTGTGCAAAGAATTGAGTAAATCTACTCATCTTACAATAATTAATGTGGTGATTGTGCTCATCGTCACTTTATAGTGACGAGCAATAAAATGCTCCTTGTGTTCAGCAGTAAGCTAGAATCATAACTTTACCCTTGCCATCTATTATTAGAGGGTGCTGCATGTAACAGATACAATTGCAGGTCATTGATATATTCTGTCACCTAATTCTATTCCAGTGGTGCTAGTTGTGTGTGTGTGTGCTAATTAAGAGTAACATAAATGGTTCGTCGTGGAAGATGCTTCCTTCTTTTATTATTATTTTTATTATATGGCCAAATTTTTTTCGTGATCTTTGTGATGATACCCTACTTTTAAATAGACTTATGTGGTGAAAAAACTATTAATTGTAATTCTGTGATGAAATTCGTTATCAATCATAGTCCAAATTGGATTTTCCCTCGTTCTTCTGTCATTTGTAGGGGCAAAATTGTTATTTTTGTTTTTATTGATTCCATCAACCAATCATAAAGCGCCGCCATATGGACATAAATTTGTTTATTTTTAAAACTTTTAGAGCTACAATAAAAGAATTAATAAGTAATAAAATTACAAGGTTTATATTATCAGACTCTCTCATTTCAAGATTTAAAAAATCACAAAGTACCTCGTCGCATTTAAGTTATTATGCAAACAAATTTAGTTTTGTTTTAAGAAGAATAGTGGTGGATGGGATGGCTAGGGTTATGTGTGAGAGAGGGGGGAAGGTGGTGGGTGGTCGCTGTGGCTGTGACTGACAAGGGTAGGGATTGGCGAGGGATTTTTTTTTTCCCTTCTATTTTTGTTGATTATAAAAAAGTGGAATTACAAAAAAGAAAAGAAAAAAGAATGGAATGACCCTTTTACCGCTACATGTGGATGAGATTTTGACAGAAATTTCAATTTGGACTACGATTGATAACGAACTTCACCACAGGGATACGATTAACATTTTTTTCACCACAGGATTCGATTTAAAAGTAGTGTCTCACCACAGGAATCAAGAAAAAAATTTAGCCTTATTATACTGCCATCTTCATTATGCATCAATAATCATCCATTTACGGCCTCGCAGACTTGTGCCTTAGCAAATACTTGCTTGTGTATTTAGTCTTGTTAACTTGGAGAATTAATAAAATCATGATCAATTAGTCTCTCTTTTCTAATGAAGTTTTAATATTAATGATCTTAATTAGTTACAAACAGTCGTGCATGCCGATTCCTTTCATTGCATGTCACCTTGTCTGGAATTATGGTATAACGTGCGACGTGGGGTGATTTACTAAAAGCTTGTAGATGTACTCACGAATATTTTGATGATCTGCAATAATACAATCTATAGAGATATATATGTGTGTGTGTGTGTGTGTGTAAGAAGTACTGCCCACTGACTGGTGATCACGATGATAATAGTAATCTTCAGTCAACCAACAACATTTTCAAGTTGATACATAAAAAGTTCAGCTCAAAAACATGCTACTGCTATATTAATATAAAAATAAATATGCTGAAGTACTCATCAATTAATATAGCCTAGTAAAATCAGATATTATAAGGTCGATCTTTAGTTAAGTGGTCCAGACTCGAGGCATGCTATTAGTCTTTATACAATATATAGTTGGTTGGACCAGTTCAAACTTGAGGACTTTTCTAGTATGCGGGGTTATCTATAGCTGTTTTGGACACTTGATTGTTGTATCTTTAGCTTCACATTCGGTGTTTCATTTATCTCCTGCATGCCATACACTGAAGTATAGTAGAATTTTTTGCAAACTTAGAAAACATAATTTGGCTTCCATTGGCAGCTTCTCCAAATTATTATCGTGCCATAATCTAAAGCACACGAGGGATCGTCCTGTTTCTGTTTGTCTGTGCACATCTGGAAAAGGGCAACCCTGTGATCTCAGTTTCCACTTTAGTTTCTGCAAATGGACACACTCACTCCCTCCAATAACTACACAAATTAAACCCTCTTTTTGTCAATTGTAGTATAAGTATGCAAGTAGGGATCGTTCTGGACCGGGGATTAGGAGGGATTGCAAATCTCTTGGAAACTGACACAAAAACGTAAAAACAATATAAAACGCTATCCTAAACTCAAAGAATTCAAAACTAAAAATAAGAAAGATTAAGACTAAGACTTAAACGAAATATGGGGGGATTGATTTTGGACGAATTTAAACTAAAATGGATAGATTGTAAAGAAAACAAATTGTAAATATGAAATTGACGGAAATGAATGGATGGTATGGCTAGCTAAGGGGTTCATCTCCATACATGTTACACTTGCATAATAAAATGATTTCTAATTGTATTTCAATAAACCATGAATTCTCAACACTCCGGGTTAATTAGGTCCGCTTAAATTAACCGTCAAGTTTTCCTTAAGTTAATGAATTGGATGATTGCATACGACAACCCAAAGCATTCCTCACAAGTTCCCTACATGAATTGCATAATAGAGATACAAGCAAGAATCATTAAGCATCATGAAAACTATAAGTGTTGACGAGGCATTCGTTACTATGATTGCATGAAACTTATGCCAAGAATTTGTTTAACGTGATTGTTTATAAGCAACCTCCACTACTTGTGAATATAAGTTCATAACTATTACGTGAAACTCACTTATATTCTAGCGTCAAATTCATGCATGAAAATTAAGCGTTCATTCTTAATAAACATACATAAATAGGTTATCAATCAAACAGTTAAACAAATTGAATTCACAATTTATGAAACGTAATTAAAAGTAATCAAATCATATTACAAACATAAACATAATTTCGAATCACCCCCAAGCTAAAGGGGGGTTTAGTTCCTCATACAAAACAAAGAGAATTGAATTTAAACTTTGAAATCAAAGAAACACCTAAACATTCCAACAACTCAAACTTGAATTGTATGAACGTTTAGGCACTCTTCTCTTCCTCGTTGTTGTAGCACAAGGTCTAAGGTGAGGTTTGGGGGATTATGGAAATGGATGAGGAGTGGTGTAGAAGTGGAAGGGAAATGGAATGTTTATGAATGAATGAATGCAAGGGTATTTATAGGAGTAGTGGAGGGAACATATGGCTATGTCATTTGTAGGTGAAGTAGGTGGATGTTGTAGGTGAAGTAGGTGGATGTTGTAGGTGAAATAGGTGGATGTTGTAGGTGAAGTGGGTGGATGTTGTAGGTGAAGTGGATGTTGTAGGTGAAGTGGATGTTGTAGGTGAAGTAGGTGGATGTTATGTTAAGTGATAAGTGATAAGTGATATGATATGTGGTTATGATATGATAAGTGGTTAAGTGGTGATGATAAGTGATAAGTGATTAAGTGATATGATATGTGGTGATGATAAGTATGGAGCATGTGAATTAACTAATGAAGGAAATGCATGTGCAATGACAATGTGTTAGAATGGATGTGTGTTATGCATGGCATGATTGGGATTAGGAAAGGTTTTAAATGTCCTAAAACTAAAGAGAACAAGGTTCCAACACTTTGGTCTTCAATTAGGTCTTCAATTTCGTCCAACACTTTGGCTCCAAGCATAAGCTATCCATCCTTAGCCCAAAAGTGCTCCAAAAGTCTCCAAAATGCATCTTTTTGCTCCTTTAGCCCTTTGGACCTATAAACACACGAAAATAGCTTAAAGTACTAAAATAACTAAAGAAACATAACGTAAATGCACGAGAACAAGCCATTTAAGTCGCATGAATATGCTCCTATCAAATACCCCCACACTTATCTTTTGCTAGTCCTCGAGCAAAACAAAACAACAAAAGAACACGAAACTAGACAAAACAAACAAAACACAACCTACACCTTCCAACAATCGTATCAGGGACTTCCAATGCACATGACAAATTAAAAATCAGTATTCTCACAGATTTAAGCCATCTTTACACTTAAGTACATTCTTACTCATAGTCACCACATACTAGTTCACAATTAAGCATTTAAAACCATGTTTTGAATGTAGTAACATGCCTTAGAGAATTCCCTCAATTTCTTACTAGATGTACTCTCGTTTTTCACACAGATTTTCTGACTACACACCCTACACTAGGTATATGTGAGAAGATTGATGTAAACATGTAGACGAACACTCACATATGTTATAAGGAAAGCATTTTCTGGAGTTAATAAGCATGTTTAGATATGATCTCATGAATGGAATGCTACTACTTAGACGCGAGAACCAGTGACACCATAAGCCCATACCAAGTTCAAACTCCACAAATTGAAATACACAACACTCAAGATAGAAGTCAAGGGTTGTAACGGGGCTTGGGGTATGTGGATAACAAAGAAGGGATATGGAAAACAAAGGTTTTTAAAGAAATAGTGAGCAAAGCATTTGAATCAACTTAGAATTCACTTTTGAATGAAAACTCAACTTTTGAACAAAAAGGGAGAGTTTAGACAATTTACACCCAGAATTGGTGTTTTGGAACCTTTCTTCAATCACTTATTCTTTCATTTTTTTTTCTTTTCTTTTTTTTTTTTTTTTTCTTTTTTTTTTTTTTTTTTTGAATCTCAAAACATCAACACTTAAACATTCTCTCCCCCACACTTATTTTTTTTCATAATGTAACTCAAAAGGAATTCAATTAAGTCATGCTCACTATCTTTTAAGAACAAGGGTGGGGATTGTCCTAAACTAGGCTAGGTGAGGAAAATGTGGGTAAACAAAGAATAAAGGCTAAACAAGGCTCAACGGG